GTGTGTAACATTTCATACAATTCTACCGATAATATTATAATAATATAATTATATTATTAATATTAACTTTATTTAACACATTTTAAGTTAAGTCCAATAATTGGAAACTAATTTTGAGTCCATTTGACAATAATACTAAATTACAGAGAGCAGAGTGGATACAGGCAGATGTCAGTGCTGTAGATACAAGGCATAGACTGATGCTAAAGATACCTGGCAGATGTGAGTGCTGTACATGCAGGCCATAGACCAATGCTATAGATACCTGGCAGATGTCAGTGCTGTAGATACAGGGCAAAGACAGATGCTATAAATACCTGGCAGATGTCAGTGCTGTACATACAGAACATAAACCAATGCTATAGATACCTGGCAGATGTCAGTGCTGTAGATACAGGGCAAAGACTGATGCAATAGATACCAGGCAGATGTCAGAGCTGTAGATACAGGGTATAGGCCAATGCTATAGATACCAGGCAGATGTCAGTGCTATAGATACAGGGCATAGGCCGATGCTATAGATACCGAGCAGATGTCAGCGCTGTAGATACAGGGCATAGACTGATGCTATAGATACACGGCAGAGGTCAGTGCTGTAGATAGAGGGGAAAGACTGATGCTATAGATACACAGCAGATGTCAGTGCTGTAGATACAGGGCATAGAAAGATGTATATGTCAGTGCTGTAGATACAGGGCATAGACTAATGCTATAGATACACTGTAGAGGTCATTGCTATAGAAACAGGGCATAGACCGGTGCTATAGATACATAGCAGTGGTCAATTCTGTAAATACAGGGCATAGACCGATGCTATAGATTTGATTAATATTATAGTAACAATAATGATAATATTAACTATTTCAACTATTTCAAGTTTTAGTGAAGTCCAATAATTTGACACTAATTGTGTGATTTAGCCCTAATCCATATCTTGTCTTTATTTTGTTCATTATTCTATTCATACAATTCTATGAATTCAACAGTTCAACCTGCACATTTTCTGTGTGGTCAAGTCTCAGTTGTTTTCAAGCCAAGGTCTTGCTCATGGTGGGAACTGTTGGGTCTCTCTGTAAAGAGGACACTGGAACTACATAGAAGGAGTCCTACATCAGGAATTAATAGACACCCAGCAGCCAGTCAGAACCCAGTATTTACCCAGACCGTGGTATACAAGCTGGTAATCAGACCTGTGTTTGTGTTTCTGCCCTCTGGTGGTAAAAGTTCATCTAATACGTCTTTAAATCAGATCTTCCTGCGTGAATTTTAGGACTACAGCGATGCAAGGAGTGTGTTGGTTCGAGGCCGGGCGACTCTGAAGCTTCAGAGTAACAAACCAACCGTCAACATGGAGTCTCAAAGCACAGAGGTAGTAACATAAACTGCTGCTAGCAGCCCCTAGAGGCTGCAGTGTTCATTACAGCTGTAAACAACACAAGGATTATCTGCTTTTACCAGTCACGATCAGTGTGTCTGTAGCTTCCTGTGTTACTTCCTGAATCCCAGTGTTTGTCCTCTGCAGATTGAGGTCCACATTTATCCCGACTCAGGCCAGGAGGTGGACTCCAGTGCCCCCCTGTGGATCATTGTGGTGTCTGCCCTTGCAGGAGTCTTACTGCTGGCTCTGATCTGCCTACTGCTCTGGAAGGTAAACTGAGCTGAGGAGGTCCACAGTCTGATCACTGGATCTAGTTTCAGTGCGATTATTTTTATGTTTGGCTTCCTCGTCACCATAAAAGCATTAATTTGTAATCAATTTTATTTGCCATCATCACCTCCCGGTTGGTAAAGTGCCACTGTGTCGCCCCCTGCTGTTCAGTGTGGTTTCTTCAGGAGAGCCAGAACCAGAGAGCTGTACGAGGCAAAGACCCAGAAAGCCCACATGAAGAGCCAGCCGTCTGAGAACGAGAGGCTGGAGGAGGAGATCTGAGGCTGGGCACACTGCTGGCAGAGAGCCCCGCTGTAAGGACCAGCTGCTGACTGAATGTTTACTGTTAACTGACTGTTCACTGACTTTTCACTGTTTACTGACTGTTTGCTGTTTACTGACTGTTTACTGACTGTTTGCTGTTTACTGACTGTTTACTGACTGTTTACTGACTGTTCACTAACAGTTTAATGACATTTCACTAACAGTTTAATGACTGTTCACTGACTGTTTACTTACTGTTTACTGTGCATGATCACTGACTTTTCACTATTTACCTACTGTTAACTGACTGTTCACTAACAGTTTAATGACTGTTTACTGACTGTTTACTGTTTACCGTTTACTGTTTACTGACTGTTTACTGACTGTTTTTGTCCTCAGCTGTCAATCAGAGGGGGCAGGGCTTGTTGAACTTTACTTCCTGCTTTCTTTCCAGCTTTTCAGACTCTTTATGCATCTGATCGATCAGCCCGTCAATAACTCTATTGATCTTGATTCATCTGTGTTTGCTTCTATCTGACTGTCCATTATTAGCATTGGTTCATTGATTGATATATTAATCTGTCATTATTATTAGTTTATTGATTGATATATATTGGTCTGTTATTAATATTTGTTTACTTATCAATATATTAATAAATACTTTACTGCATTCATATTTCTTTATAATACATCTTTTATTGTGAAAATCCACCCTAACGTTCCTGTTTAAACTGACTGCTGGAAGGTTTGATCACAGCGCCATCTGGTGGCTCTGGCTAACAATGCTAACAATGCTAACATGCTGACATGTTTATCAGGCATAATGTTAGTTTAGCCTGTTAGCATGCTAGTAGCGTACAGCAGCCGAGGCTGATGGGAACTCATTAAACTGTTGACTTGCTGATGGCGCTGGATCAATAAAGTTTGATACTTTATTACTTCCTGTTTAACTGTCCGCCTGTCTCCACTTCATGTTTACCTGTCCGCTGTCTCCACTTCCTGTTTACCTGTCCGCTGTCTCCACTTCATGCCGCCGTGTTAGACAAACAAGGTTTCTGTCTTCTGTCTTCAGTGCGGCTTCTTTGAACGTCGGAGGTCGTGGCGGGCCGCTAAACTCCACCAGGGGAGGATTGTGGGTAAAGACAGACAGCAACAGCAGCAGTACACGGACGCCGACGGCTTCCTGATCCAAGATCACGCCACCTCGTCCAGAAACAGGAAGTCCCCCAAACACTGGGTCACTTCCTGGACTGAGACGCACTGAGAGACCGAACCGGGCTGAACCAGACAGAACCAGACCAACACACTGCCATCAACCTGCTGGGACTGTGTGTGTGTGTGTGTGTGTAAACAACAACAGATTGGTTTATTGTTTATCTGTATTTGTAATATTGTGTGTTTATTGTGTGACTCGCTGTGTGTGTGTTTGAACTGCATTTCCCAGCATCCTCTTAGCCTCTGAGCAATCAGATATAAAGAAATGAATGTAGATGTTTGGACAGTGTTCGTATAAATCAATCAGAGACTGATTATTGATTTGGGAATTGATCAGCAGGAAGTGATTTGTAGTTAAAGGGCTGAGTGAAGAATAAATAGTGGTCTGCTCCTTTAAGATGGCAGCAGAGGTCACATGGCCGCAGAGGTCAGTGCAAGCTTTATTGTGATGTTGTTTCCGTACTGCCCTCAATGGCTCCTCGTTAAAACGTGTGGGTGTTGCGTTCAGGTACTGAAGGATCCTATAAAGATGCTTCTTGTTGTAGTTTTAGGAATCAGCACAGCTACTTCTACTGCCCTTTTTTCTAAGTGTTTTATATAGTTGTGATATTTCTGACAGCACTTGAAAGCATCACCTGTGTGTCCGGGATGCATTCAGTGTCACTGTGAATGTCTGCCGCTGATATTAAAGTATTTTTTATACACTCTGCCTGATGCTTTAAGGGTCACTCTGTTATGTCTGTGAATCAGAGCGGTTGTGTTACCACATTTAAACACACAGCCACTAGGGGGTCTCTCAAAGAGGAATATAGAGTTTATACAGTGTTCAATGATTATAGATTATTGATTGAATCAATGACATATAGAACATAGCTCTAGAGTTTATACATTGTTTATTGATTGACCCACTGTTTAATG